AAGTAGTCCCCTACCGACACCCCACAGGGCTCTGAGGAGTCAAAGGGCAGTGTATGCACTGGAGTTCACCAGCTCTCCTCTCTGCGCCCCTCCTCCCAGCACAGCAGTCAGAGGAGGGCACGGCTGGCCAGGCTGGGGGAGCGAGAAGCCACACATTCACGCCTCCCCTGATTTTTACCTTCAGGCCAGCTGTCCTCCCTTCCCTCTCACTCCAGGTGAATGGAGGCTGAAAACTGAGAGAAAGAGAGCAATCTGGGAAGAAACTGGTGGCTAGTCCCTTGACATATTTCAGAGGAATCTTTCCAGAAAACGGCCCGAAGGAGACACTTCCACAGGACTCCCCTCCTGTCTCTGACTTTTTAAGCTCTGCCCGTCTGAACGGCCCCATGGCATCCTTCCTCCTGCATTCTCCAGGCCTGCAGGAGCCCTCAGCGCAGAACCCGCCTTTGGTGGGTTCACCCCTAGGTGGCCCCGCAGGCATCCTCCAAGTGCGGACTGGTGGCGAGGCTGGTGTCCTGACCTAGCCCCCAAGGAGGCGGCTCAGACTCAGGCAGCGAGCGCCCAGCAGGCCTCCCAGGGCGCAAGGGGTCTGGGCACCTTCCCACGAGGCGGCCCTTCTGGCTCCACCACTCAAGCCGTGGGAACGGGTTTAGCCACACGTGGCCTGGAGGCTGCACAGCTCATGCTGGGTTCCCGGCCTCTGTCCTCCAGATTCTTGTCCCAGCTCGCCTGCCCCTGCCCTTCCTGCGGGGAGCGGCCCCTCACCACGTGGGTGACGTGGCCCAAGGGCACCCGTGCTGGCCCACCACTTTCTCCGACTTCCTCTATCTACCCGACCCGTGACTTGTGGCGAGCTCCCGCCGGGGCTCCCAGGCACAGATGGGCACGGAAGGCTTTGGCTGCAGCGGCTACAGCGTTCCTACCACCCAGGCTTCCAGGACTGGGGCCAGGGCTAGGGGCACGGGAGGTCCCACAGGCCACAGCGGCAGGCACAGCCAGACTAGCCACCCAGGGCTCTCTCTTCCAGCCCACTGTGACACTGGATCTCAGATCTGATAAATCCTCCAGGTATTTCAGTTTCCTCAGGCATTTAGAAAAAACAAAAACAGTCATAGGATTTCTTTTAGGAATAAATCAGATTATGGATGTTGTGGGCCCAAGGGAGTAGTTACTCTGTAAGCCCCCTCCCCACTTTCCCCTGTCCTTCCGTTTCAGATACCAGAATTTGCATCCAGAGCTAAAAGTCAGTGGGCTCAGCCAGAGCAGTAAGAGCAATGAAGGCACATCCACATTCCTGGAGGACACATGAGAACAGGGACTGTCCCGGAGCTGAGAGAGCGTGACATCACTGCTCCTATGAGGGGGAGTGATGGCACAGAAATCATCCTAACAGCATCATACACACAGGCCTCTGCCAGCTCCAAGCAGGCTCATTTGAGAAAACAGCCTTCTTGGTAGTGCTGGTTACAAGGGTAGGGCCTAATTTAGCCTGTTTTCCTCCACTGTCCTCTGACACTGCTTCCTCTTCCCACTCCAGCTTAAACACTAAACGACAGCTCAGCCCAACATGGGGCTCCATTCACAGGCTGGGGAAGGCTTTTATAAAGGGAGGCACATCAGCTCTAGACCAGCTGGAAAAGGCACTGTTAGTCACTCTAGTAAATAAACACTGAAGTCATTTCCCTACTGACACCCAGACACAGGAATCACGTCTAAGAATGGATTCCAGCAGCACCAATCTGACAAGGGTCTCACATGGGTGTTCCTTCCCAATAGAAAATGAGGCAGGGGAAGGGGGCAGTTGTAGACCAGGTCCTTCTGAGGAGAGCATGTGGGTGGAATTATGCATAAGTAAAATTTTAAATCAACAGAATGCATCACTATGGAAACATTCAGCTTTATCAAAGGCACTGTTCAAAAACACAATCGAGACCTAAGATTCAACACTACAAGTGTTTATGACCAGAAAAGGCAAAGTGGGTCTCAGATATTGTGCCGCCAAGTAAAGCTGCCAGAACTCAAAGAAGAAATATTCCCAGCAGGGCAGGAACCCATCGTTTGTCAGGACTTTCTCTGAAACCATCCAACTGGAGCATTCAGCGCACTGCAGGGCCTCCTTAACTCTTTCAGCGTTGCAATGACACAATTCAGGAGATGGCTCTATAGGCACTGGGTCCAGACAGACCTGCCACGCGCCAGGGCAGGATCACATCAGCCACAGAGGCAGAGAGTGCGTGCCACAAGGAAAGGGCAGGTTTATTAGCTGTGACAAACTTATCAGGAATCATCAGTGCCACCCGAGCTAGTCGGTTAGTGATGGGTCAACGTGGACCCTGATTTCAACGCTGGGGATCCAACTGGGTGCTAAGTGTGAGTGTTCCGACCCGTGTTTGGAGGCAAGTTGTCTGTTATAAATAAGACATTTTTAGTGCGGAGCCTGATCTGTTTCTTTGGGCTCTCTGCTGGCTGGAGTAATGGTGTTAGTAAGTATTGTGAAAAAGCCTGATACAAATTTGGGTGTCATTCATGGTCCCCAAGTGTACTCACAGATAAGGATGAAATGAGAAAGGACCACAGGGGAAAACTCATCTGTCTCTGTCTCTGAAGGTGGATACGGTCAGGAAGCACTTGCCAAAAAGCCAAGGAAAGCTGGCTGAGAATTTGTCTAACTGACCAGAAGTTGGATTCTGTCCCCGCAAAATGAGCTTCCCCAACGAAATGGTCAACTGCTTAGTCCAGTTGCCACCAGTTTCTGACTAGAAGATGCTGATGCTGATTAAGGGAAGATGAGATACAGATGCCTGCCCTGATGCTATACAGGAAAGCCCAGGAACAAACAGATGGCCTGTGGTCAGCTGTGGCCAGCTTGGCAGGAGCCAGCCCTGAGGCTCAGCGTTCCCAGGAGTGCTCGGCAGACCATTCCTCCTCCATTCAGCATGGCAGAGGAAAACCAAATAGGCTGAGAGACTAGCCTGCAGTCTGAAATCCAGTTCTGCCACTACAAGCCCTATTAACTTACTTAACTTCTTGGAGACTCAACTTCCCAGCCCCTACAATGGGAATATGACCTCTCTCCTGCAGGGTTGTGGGGAGGATTAGGGATTATGTATAAAAGCTCCTAGGGCAGTGCCGGGCAGCCTGCTGAAGCTCGGAAAAAGGGCAGCAAAAACAAAACAAAACTGAAACCTGTTTTTCTTCACGCTACTGCTGTTACATTTGCTTCCTCAGCTTTACATGTAAGCTAAGCAAAAAACAGCATCACCTCTAATCCTAGTTCAGCTCTAGTACCAGCAAAACACGGCAACAGGCTGCTGCAGTCACTGAGCATGCGGCCCTCTGCCGTGGTCTGGAATTCCTGTCTGTGCCTACACCCTGTAGTTTTACTCTGCAGCAAGTACCTACTTGACATTTCAGAAGGGACATTATTTTAATCATAAGGAAAAGGGCAGTTCTGGCAATATAGTATCTGGAGTGACAGCAAGAAAAACAAAACTGAAGATTTGCTGCTCTCAAACTAAGACACCCAGGTGGTGGCCCACCCCATCTGCTGTACAGTAGAAATGTGTTTCCCTGAAAGACACGGGTGTGACAAGTGGAGAGATCAAATGCACAGCTGATGCAAGGGGAGATCATGACCCTCCATTAAGAAGGAGGGACACTGGAAGACTCGGAACCATCTGCCAGTTCTTTCATTAGTAAGAAACAGAAGATACATTTCCTAGTGTCATGCATCAAACTTAGAACCAAAGCTGGCTGTATCAACTGGCCTGGTATTATTTGCATTACTAGGAAAAGAGCTAAGAATTAAAAAGAGGCTTTATTTTATTCTTATGGTGATTTGAACCTCCCTCGCAGGAAAGCTTGGTATGGTGCTCAAACTTTATAAAGCATTTCATACTTCTTAGAGAAACAAGCTATGCTCATTTGTTTGTTTAAAAAGGACAGGAGGCTACAATGCCAGGAGCCAGAGAGCTTGCCAGAGAACAGCCTGGCCAGGCATGGTGCTCCATCTGAGTGCCGAGTCGGAGCGTGCCCAGCCTTTGGCATCTTTCAATGATCACAGGGAGCATCAATCTTACAGCCTGGAATGGAAACAGGAGAAAAAGCAAGAAGGCACTGTACCTTTCCTCCACTGGCAGACAGAGAATCTCGAACTCTCCTGCCCTATTTCCATCCATTTAAATTCATTTTCTTTCTCTCAGGTTTTCATTTTCTTGGTTTGGAGTTAATCTGGTATACAGCTCCTGAGTCAAGAGGTCAAGAAGACATGTGGTTTTATGATGCAATAACGGGCAGCCACTCTGTTTTGTTTTGGGAACCTCGGTGACATCACAGACTAACCCTTGTACCTTGGGACCTTGTATGTAAGAAAACACTGAGTCAGAGAGAGTCTTAGTCACAGGGCTACTGCAACACAAGGTGAAGATAACTATTAGGCAATTGAGTGTATTCCCTGCAGGGCTGCTCCCACTTCTATCTGACTTGGGTCTAGATGACTCAAGTGATTCCCTAGGGGAAACTAATCTATGTGGAACAGCTGTCATGAGCAGGGCTTCTGCTGCTCTTCAGCCTCAATTTCAGCCTGCCACCCATGACATCATTCAGTGATTCCTCCCTTCAAGGGTACAGTCTTCTCTTGTATTACAGGTGACTGCCTGAAGGTGGGTAGACTAGAGCACACTGCCACCACTCTTTATTTGGAGGCCTGTAACCTGTCTGAGTGTGTTGCAGGAAGACTCAGTTATGGCGTTTCCTGAATATGCAGCTTTCCATTACAATAGTATGTAAGCCAAGATGAAACCACCTCTGTTTGGTTTTCAGCAGCTGTCTGCCTACAGAAGGCTCCAGAGTCTCTGACGCATATTTATATCTCCACTTCACTGAAGTCACAAGGAACAAACACGTGGAGATTTTCCCCAGAGGCACAAATCCATTCATATTTCTTCAAATGAAGGTGGGGGCGGGGAGGGCAGGAGGAAAACTGCTTATGAATATAATCATCCATGAACACTGCCACATGGATTTTAATTTGCCTAAAGATGATAGCGATTTTGAGCTGTGATTAGGGATAACTGTTCCCACGGTAGACCCATTACCAACATGAATTACTGGCTGTCATTTAATAGGACTCCAGCTGGGAAACAAACCCCACCATCTTCCCAACAGCCACGCCCCGAGATCAAGCAGCACCAGCCTCTTGAAGTCGCTTCTCAGTGGAAGGTTTGCTCCATCTCAGTGAAGCTTCTCTCTCAAGACTCTGATGTCACCAGGGCGTCCCTCGAGGGCCTGGATAGACTGTCCGAAAGGTCAGGTTCACTCTTGGTTCTCTAGAGTGGTATTCTTTGGGCACTCGATGCTAAATGGAAATACACATAACTCTGACATAAATACGCACATGAACATGTTTAGTTCAAAGCGATTTAAAACTTATTCATGAAAATACAAAAATATTTCCATCTTATCCCCCTTAACTTAGTAAGCTCTTTAAGGTCTTGTAGAGAAAGGTCTCCTTCTTGAAACAAATTTCCATCCCCACTGTGCTGTGCCAGCACCCAAGTGAGATATTTTCGTTTCTTCTAATTGTTGCTGTTCCTCTCAGGCACCTGCATTTCCCAAATCTCATAAAACATAAATGGATGAAACCTAAGAGAGGCATGAGATTCCACTCTCATGGTAAGTGTTTTGACATTAACACGCACACCTAAGAAATGATCTGCCCTAAAAATGGCATGGCCTAGCCACGGAGCTGTATATTCCAGTAAGAGAGTCACTAGCTACCCTGAAGCTATTTACATTTAAATTCATTAAATTAAAAACTCAGTTCTTTTAGCATGCAAGCCACATTTTCAGAAGTCGATAGTCATATGTGGCTAGTGGCTACTAATTATTAGGCGGCACAGATACTGAATACTTTCATCATCACAGAAAGTTCCACTGGACACACTAGCGTCTATCTGGATTGTGAGTAGTATCAAAACTCCTTGGAAAGAATGTCAGCTCATTGCCTCTTGCTCATTATAAAAGCAGCTTGCTTTTCACCGTGTCTACTTAGAAATAGTCCTGAGAGTTGGGAGACTGCCTCCGTGTGGGAGAAGATTCTGTACTTGCGCATCCTCACCTGCCAGTCGGCTTGCGTCGCTCCTTCCATGATTAACAAGGTCCCGTGATCCAAGGGTATCTTCACTCTTTCCACATATGTGTAGTCTCCATTCTCTTCCTAGAAAACAGCATTCACTGTGCTAAATTTCTTGCCTGTGTGACCAAGATGCAACAGAAGCTGACAGTGGTCAAAAAAATGGAAACCTCTACTCAGTCCGACTGTGGGAATCCATATATAGCTCTGTCATCTGGCAGCTGCTTGACTGCGGGCAGGTTCCCTCACCTCTCTGAACCCTGACTTACTCATTTGTAAAACGGGGAGGATGACAGTCACTGCCACCTAGGGCCATGGTGAGCCTCCCTGGATAGAATATGTGTAAATCACTTGGAGACTGGCATGCAGTAAGTGAGAGCTATTCGTGTCATCGTTGTCATAAGCTAAAACACAGAAAAGCCCATTCTGGCCTAAGAAGGAAATAAGTCACTTGTACAAGAATTCTTTATATCTGCCTGATGCTGTGCTCTCCATTTTGACATACTCAGGGTGGGGAAAATGGCCTTTTAACCAAGAATTGATGCGATGCCTTCTGCTTCACCTTTTCACAGTATATGCTGGTTTACTAGTTGGCACCTAGAGTCACAATTTTTCTCATAGCTACTTTGGAGTTTTGAAGATATACTCCTGCCTCTTTCCAGAACAGACAACAACAAGATTTTCTCAAAGGGAGCTCTGACTTGATCAAAACAGTGCTGTCAAACAGAGATTGGCTATTTACATCTTTGAGGATGGATCATGACTCCTGTACACTTAGGATACAAATGCCTTGTATTTACACGGAGAGCTCAAAAGCAATTTATGTCCAATATTCTCATGAGTCTTCACAGCATAGGCCGCGAAGCAATCAACTCATAGTGTGACTCCTCCACAGCTGAAAACCGGGCACATTAAACAACTTCTGTGCTCACAGCCAACAAAGAGCATGTCAAGTGCTGAGACTGGAATGGATCTGAGCTTCCTGATTTCTCTACCTCGTTCTGGGCAGAACGGATGGGTCTATTCATTCATCTGCTTCACTTCCAATGCAAGGGGTTACATTTGGGTTACTGTAGGATTGATTTCAGTTGCAAACTGTGTTTATGTTTATTATTGTATGGGTTCTTCTGAGAACTTAACTGTTTACAAAGATTTCCCCTAGGGAAATCAAAATCAAAACAATAATGAACTTGCATAAACAATCTAAGTTCCAGGCCCCAATTTCTGGCAGTAACTTTGTCAAGCATAGTCATAATTGTTATAGACAGAAGATAGAAGCAATGTTTAAAATAACTTTTGGTTTCAGTGATTGATTTTAATTGTGTCTGCCACCTTTTCTCTTCCAGTAATAAGTGGGCACCAAAACATTTACCTTTGACCCCTCAGACAACCAGAAAGCAGTTGGAAGGTGACCCTGCCCTCAGGGCGGCCCAGCTCCATCTCAGAAAAGCAAAAGGCCGCTCTCTGAAAAAAAAAAAAAAAAAAAAGTGCCTGACAAAGAAGACACATGTCCTGCTGGAGAAAAGATATCTGGAGGGAGTGCACTGTCCACGAGATTACAGAGTGCAAGGCTCCTTAATTTAGGGTGTATAGTCAGCTACAAGATTCAACACAGCTAGAAACAGAAGAATTTCTGCTACCATCTACATAATCAGGGAGTACAACACGGGCTTTACCTACGCATCAACTACAGACACTAAGACAGGAGAATAAAATAAAGTCGAAAGGAAGGACACTTAATCACAACACAAAGGCAATTCAGAGATGAAGATCTCTTAGAATGTTAAAAACACTGTTGGGGAGAAGGGGGTGCTAGACCAATGGAAGAGAAGAGATAAATACTGTAGTTCCACCTGGAAACATGACGCAGGAATGCACCTCACAAGTGAAAGATAATTCCAAAATGCAAGAAATATCAGCAGTGTTGGAAAGTGATGTTCAGTGATCACATTTCACACACAGTTCCGAAGATCTGAACTTTTCAAATCAGAGACAGCCTCAGGTTGGTTTTGAACATGTAACATTCAACATAAGCACTGGCCGTACCAAAAAGCAGAAAAGGGTGAGTCTTCGTTTGGGAGGGAGCCACTGGAATCTGTCCTCAAAGGAGACAACAATACACAGGGTACCCTCTGTGAGAGGTGATATCACTCTTTGCTGCTTGTTTATTCCTTCAAGATCTCTGACTCAGAAGACACATTCCTAATTTGCAGAAGGAGGTAGACAGGAAAGAGGGCAAGGGATCCTACTAATGCAACACAGAGCTCCCAAATGAATCCTTCTCTTGTGGTCAGAGTGGCCACAGACCATAGGGCCACCCTTCTACTGAACCAAGATGCATGGAGACTTTTTCCATCTAGGAGCCAGATGAAAGGCCAGAGGAGCTCACATAGCTGTGCATAAAGGCTCCAGTTGATAAATGGATAAGCAACAGTGGAAACACAGGTCAGACTGTTTGGAGGAGCGCCTTCCTAGTCATTAAGTATGGTTAAGTTACCCAAACACATCTCTGTAGCCCTTTTGATTTACTCAGGGCCTTCTTCAAAACAAAACAAGACACACTTCCAAAAACCAGGGCTAAGGGTAAAATTTTCCATCCCTCATCCTGGTTAAAAGAAGCTTTTAGGGTCACACTCAAGCTACAGAGTGGGTTTTGTTATTAGTGTTCTTAGTTTTCCAAATACCTGAAACCCTGCAAGTACACAGAAAAGGCAAAAAACATATATTTTTATATTAATGTTGATCAACATTCCCATTTCTCCAACCACAACCAGTTCATTTGAATGCTTAATTATGCTTTCCTAAGGCTTCCCACGACTCTTACTTCCACCTCACCAAGATATTATCCTATGCAGTTTCCTTTAAGAAAATGCTATTTAGGGTGAAAAAATCTGGGTGTATTTACTGTTATGTCATTATTAACCATCCAACAGACGGGAAACCTAAACATTTTTCTTTTCATTGGAAAGGTAATTCACACGGCATGAGATCTGGATTTTTCTTGTAACTACCCCATTCTTGTCCTAAGAGAATGCCTCAGAAATTATAAACAATCACCAATGCTTTAAAGTCATCAGTTTTTCTTTCTAGAATATAAAAAGTAACATAAGTTTACCAAAGTAAATTATAAAATTGTAATTACTTATTCAACCTCTGCTCTTATAAACTTCATGAGGGAAAGTTTATGTGGTCTTCCTGTTAAGAAACATTCTCAGCCTGTCACACATATCAATAAATACGTGCTGAATGACTGAGGAAGAGGACACAGAAAATACAGAAAATCATCAATAATCCTATCATCCAGAGTTTACCCAATATACACACAAAGTATTCCAGATATACAATCATGTACACTCCATCTGTAATGTTTTGTTGAGCATTTTTCTATACCTTTAAATATACATTTCAAAAATATAATTGTGGCCAGGTGCAGTGGCTCACACCTGTAATTCCAGCACTTTGGGAGGTCGAGGCGGGCAAATCATGAGGTCAAGAGATTGAAACCATCCTGGCCAACAGAGTGAAACCCATCTCTACTAAAAATATGAAAATTAAAAATTAGCTGGGTGTGGTGGCATGCGCCTGTAGCTACTTGAAAGGCTGAGGCAGGAGAATCGCTTGAACCCAGGAGGTGGAGGTTGCAGTGAGCTGAGATCCCGTCACTGCACTCTGGCCTAGCAACAGAGCCAGACTCTGTCTGAAAAAAAAAAAAGGTTCTACAATATTCATTTGTATGAATGTAGACTTCCTTTAAACTCACAAATACTTTTTGACCACCGTACATATCAGGCATTATGCCAGTGCTAAGGATGGGGCAGTAAGGAACACATACATGGTTGGAGATTCAGATTTTCGCACACCGGTATTTTTTTTCAAGAGGTTAAATAAACAAAAAGCTGCTGTAAGTAGATTTTGGGCAAAAGATTTCTGCATATATTTCTAGCATATATTCTTAAAAATGGAATTACTGGAGCCAAGTGTATGAACTTTAGGGCACTTGATTTATGCTACCAAACTGCTTTCTTGAGAAGGCTGCAGCAATCTATAATCACATCGGGAAAATATGATAGTATCTATCTTCTGGCTCAACATTATCAACTGACAATAACGAAAGCAAAATTAGGGTAGAAATGACAACTCATTCAAACTTAGAGATCTTGGATTACTACGCAATTTTTTTTTTTTTTTTTTTGAGACAGAGTATCACTCTGTCACCCAGGCTGGAGTGCAGTGGTGCGATCTCAGCTCACTGCAACCTCCACCTCCTGGGTTCGAGCGATTCTCCTGCCTCAGCCTCCCGAGTAGCTGGGATTACAGGTGTGCACCACCACTCCTGGCTAATTTTTTTATATTTTTAGGAGAGACAGGGTTTCACCATGTTTGCCAGGCTGGTCTTGAACTCCTGGGCTCAAGTGATCCACCTACCTCAGCTTCTCAAAGTGCTGAGATTACAGGCATGAGCCACCACGTCCTGCCCAAGTTCAACATTTTTTTTTACATTCTGTTTGCTATTTTGTTTCTTCTGTTGTGAACACTCTCTGTTCATGTCCTTTGTCCATTGTTCTATGAGGGTGTTAATGCTGTTTTCTTATTGATCTATGACCACAGATTAAGACATTGACCCTTTGTTTGTCATACTTTTTGCAAATGATTTTCTCATTTGCTATTTGCCTTTTAGCTGTACTTACAATATATAACACAGAATAGCTCAAAAATTTTAGAGTCAACTCTACTGACCTTTCTTTGGCTCTCCTTCATGATTTTTATGCTTAGAAAGTCTTTTCCCATCCTGAGGAAAGTTAAATATACAACTGCATTTCCTTTTTTTTTTTTTAAGAGTTTACATTTTTTAGACTTAACTCTTTAATCTACATAGAGTTTGTTTTTTTGGTGGTGGCTTTTTTTTTTTTTTTTTTTTTTTTTTTTTTAATTCTGTGCTTCTTTTTATAACAGTTTCCAGGAACTTAAACCAAAGCCTCCTGCTAGACTTCTTCCACAAGATCAACCATGGCGTATGCTCAGGTGCCAGGCACATTAGGCACTACATCTATTATTGCTAATCCTCACTACAGCCTTGTAAGGGA